CACACGCACACGCACACGCACTCACACACTCACACTCACACTCACACTCACACTCACACACTCACACCGACACTGCAGTCCAAGCGAAGTATGGCGGTACAGGCCATGCTGACACCACCCGGCAGTGCGTATCCCCATCTCCCCTTGTCGCGACCGATGCTGCTGACACACCCGCCCCAGCACACCTGACCATATGCGTGTGTGTGTGTGTGTGTGTATTGCCCTGTTACAGGCCCGCCCGCTAACCGAAAGCCTCTCTCCTCGGACTTCTTCCCGAACAGCGAGTGGCTCCTGACCCAGCACCGTGACACACTGGCCTCGATGGTCGGCCATCCGCAGCTGCTTCACTTCACAGCCCTCGTCGACGGCGAGTCAATTGCCCGTACCCGTGTGGCTCTCATTGAGGTACGCATGGCCCCCGGAATTCCATCCCGCGATTATCTGCCCCCCATCTGGCTTCCTCCCCCCCCCCCTTCCCCTCCTTTCACTCACTCAATCGTCCACCTCGCGTCTCAAAGCGCATGGTGCAGCCCTGTGGCCCGCCCCAGCGCCCGGCCGACGACCCGGAGGAGGTGAGAGCCGTTCTGGAGCTGGCCGCCGCCAAGGCTGCCATGGAGGTCGACTCGCAGCCGTCGACCATGGTCCCGGAAGAAGAGGATGCCACTGAGTGAGGCCCTGTCTGCGAGTCCCTCCCTATTCGTGCTCCCCTCTCGCCCCTTCCCCTCTTCCCCCTTCCCCTCCTGGGTGATGATACGGAGGTGTCGTATCGTCAGCTGTAATATAGAACATCCGTCCACCAACTGGGTGCCGTGTCCCCCTCCCCCCCCCCCCCACACACACACACATACACACTCCCCTCCCACCAATGAGGGGAGACAACAAAAGCCCGATGGGGATACATGTTGCATGGCAGATTATGTTCATTTTTTTCCCCCAGACCAGGCTGTCCTTCACACGGCCGTGCAAGGGGACAAAGGGAGGCGGGCGGGGGGGGGGGGTCCCGAGAGTGGGGGCCCCCTTGTCGAGTGAAGAGGGCAACAAAAGAAAGAGCGAATGGAATCGGAGCTGCCTCATGCCGCGTCCAATTCCGCAGGTAGTTGGCTGGTGGGACGGCTGGCTGGCGGGTAGGCTGGCTGGCGGGCGAGACGGGCGGCAAACGGGCAAGCGGGCTGCCTGGCCAGTCAGCCAGCAGATCGTGCCCGCTTCATCTATGACGAGACGCTGGTCACCCGGCGGGTGCGCTTCTTCTTCGCGGAAGAGCCGCCACCGGCCGCGTCCTGCTTCCCGGTGAGCAGATGCGCCGGATCGGTCATCACCGACCCGTGGAGGGCCTCAAACTCGCGCCGAATGAAGCTCAATGCGGCCGTGTTGTAGCCGATCAGATGCCGGTGGCGGCGAACCACCACCTTGGCCTTGGTCTGCAGATCCACCAGGCAGGCATGCAGCGACCGGGTGGAAACAATCTGCGAGTGGTGGATGTCCAGCAGGAAGAGCAAAATGCGCATGGACAGCTCGATGTACAGACCGCCGGGCTGCGGGCCGGGCGACTCGGCGCCAGGGAGGACTGCCGATGCCGACGCCGGATCGGCCGCGGCCAGCCAATTCTGCACATACTTCATCAGGATGTTCAGGTGGCTGAAGGGCAGCAACAGGAGCGACGTTTCAAGGTCGGCCGCGCGAATGGACGACGCAATGTGAAGGACAAACGCCGAGGGGGTCTTGCACCGGTAGGCCATCATCAGCGGGTGAGCAGTCGGCGGCTGGATGCCGGACACATCGATCCCAGCAGCGCGCCGGACATTCAGAGCCTGGGTGAAGGGGGGGG